CCTCCCTCCCCAGCCCCTCCCACCTTCCCTCCCCAGCCCGTCTCAGCCTCCCTCCCCAGCCCCTGCAGCTGTGGACACTGACCTGGCTATGGGGCTCCTAGGCCTCTTAGGCTTCAGGCCTTCGGCCCTGCCCACCAGCCACACCCAGGAAGGAAGGAAGCCCCCACTGCCCCGCCCCCTTGAGGGGTCAGCGATGCCGGCCCTACAGGGAAGCCCTCCTGCCTCCCTTGGTGGGTGGGAAACTGGCCGCCCTGGGCGAGGCCTGAGGGCCTCACGCGCCTCCCTCTGCGGATCAGTCTGGGGCTAAAAATAACTCTGCTGGGGCAGAGGCTGGCTGGGGAGGCCGCCTCCGCAGGGTGGGGGGGTGGGACGGGAGACAGGCCTGTGACAGCCTCAGCGGGAGCCCAGGAGCAGTGGCCCCAAAGGCCGAGCAGGAGGGCTGCTGATCTGACCTCCCACTGCAGAGAGGCTGGGCAGGGAACAGGAAGTACGTCTGGGGTGAGGGCGGCGGCCCCCAGCTGCAGCACCCCCCTCCACTTCCAGCCCTGTATTGATCCGCGTGAAGCTCCTTGGGGCACAAAGGAGCTTAACCCTCCTGAGCAGACAAGGGCCGCCCTCAGGCCAGGGCAGGACCCTTTCCCATGGCTGGGGGTGGGGCTGGGGATGCAGGGTGCAGGGAACCCAGCGGGAGAACACAGCCCTGCCAAGGCCCTCCCTCAGTGTCCACAGGGAGATGCCCGCGACCCCAGGCAGCTGTTGGCACCTCGGACCTAGGGCAGGAAGGGGAGGGAGCCCCCGGCCACAGGAAGCCACAGAAGGGTGAGCTGGGCACAGAGCTTCCAGGGTGGCACAAGGCCAGGTCTGCAGAGCAAACATCTGTTAATGCCCAGAAAACTCACCGGGAAGTAATGTGCAGAAGGCCGCCAGGGTGGGAGATTGCGGAGTTTCTAATTCCTTTTTTTTTGCCTTTCTTTATTTTGCTAATTTTCTACCACCAACAGAGGTCTATTTGATAATCAAAGAAACAAAAAACCCTTCAGAAAAGGGAAGCGCTGGCTGAGCTCCTGGCCATGGTGCCATCCCAGGCAGGACTTGGAAGGGTCCGGGGCTTTGGGGTCTGGGAACCAGCTGGGGCCCCTCAGGCCTCAGCCTCCCTAGCTGTAAAGCTGTAATGCAGCCCCAGTGAGGGCGCCTCACCTGCTCTTGCCCCTCCCCCTCCTCCCTGCCTCTCCCCAGCCATCCACCCCCACCCACCAGGGCCAGGGCTGTGCCGCCTGCACTGCAGAGGTGCCCGCCCAGCCCCACACAGCCAGGCCACAGGGCTGGAGCCCAGGGCAACCCAGGCTCGGCCCCAGAAGGCAGGCCGAGACTCCAGCCCAGGAGCCCACACGGGCCTCGGCTCCTTCCCGGCCCACTCCAGCCTCCCCAGAGGAGGTAGGTGGGCGGGCGGTTGTGGGCAGGGCCTCTGGGAAATGGGACCAGCAGAAACGGGCCCCCTGGGGGAGGACCTGCAGCAAGAGGAGGAAGAGGAAGAGGGCCAGAGAGCAGCGCCAAGGCCACGCCAGCTCCTGCTGCCACCCCGGCTCTGCCACCCCTGGCCACGCCAGCTCCTGCTGCCTAGCTCTGTCTAGAGTGGGTTGAAAGTGTGACCTTCGGAGGTAGGGATTGGGGTTCAGTCTGGGACCAGTGAGTGACAGAAAACAGACCATGGTCCCCCCACCTGCCACAGTCCCCCCATCTTCCACCTCGAGTCCCCCACCAGCCACCCCATGTCCCGCCATGCTGCCTGCTCCATGTCCAACACAATGACAGCTGGCGTCGGCAGGGGAGGGTCGGCGGCGCTGGCGGAGAGGTGCTGGCGACCCTGTGGAGCTCATCATTCCAGCAGCGACTTCCTGCTGTCGGAGGCATCGTCCGGGGCCCCCAGCACAGCGCTACTGAGGCCACACACGTAACCCACCCCAAAGCCCCTTTGAAGGTGAAAGGGACAGAGCTCTCACCACGACAAACCCTGCATAGACGGCCAGGGGTGGCGCGGCCCGGCTGTTCTGAGCAAGGAGGTCTGCCGGGTGGTACCCTTGGGAGGCCGGAGCCAGGGCAGGGCAGACCCGAGCAGGAGAGGCCCAGCAGCAGCTCCCAGCAGCCCTGCCAAGGCCCCAACTCCCCCCGCCTCACACCCCTCTTTGCACTCAGGACCTCGTCCCGACTAGGTTGACTCCCCAGGTGCCCCCTCCTATAGATGTACAAAACCCTGCTCCCTTCCCAGCCGGAATTCTTTCCCCGCTCAGCCTTCCTGGGGAGTCCATGGGCGGAATGGTGGGGATTCAGGACCTGGTCCCGCTCGGCCTGACTGCTGGGTACTGGCAGCCGGGGAGCCCACCTCCCTGGGTCTCTGCTCCTCGCTGGATGAAAGCCCCAGCCCTGGCTCACAGGGACTCGGGGTTGAAGGACAAGGGCTGGGGCTGGGCCTGCAGAGGAGCTGTGGGCGGCGGGTCAGTCCTGGCCTCAGGCTGGGAGGCAGGTCCAGCGACTCTCACCTGTAGGGCTGGGTTCTAGCCGCTGGCTCAGCAGCTGGGGGTGAATGTGCCCGGGCTGCACACATCTTTTGTCCCAGGGGTGAGGCCTGCTCCTTCCCTGGGACACACACATTTCTTGAAGCAGTGCCAAGCGTTAGGAAGGCCCTGCCACGTTGCTGCCTCAGCACTTCCCCCAAATCCAGGCAGCACCCCAGCGGCAGGTCAGGCAGAGGCAGCCCCTGGGCACCGGAGCTCAGAGGGCATTCCTGAGGGTCAGGGCCCTGACTCTGCAGCACCCACATGGGCAGGGCCAGGGGTGGGGGGACAGAGCCGCTCTTATTCCTCCCACATCTCAGCTCTGCTCTCCTCGAGCCCCTCCCTGGATTTTCAAACGCTTCCCAGGCCCCTTGGACCTGGAGGGCCTCAGGAGATAGCCCAGCCCCTCCAGGAGGAAGTGATTCTGGGTGGTTTTGGTGGAGAAAAGGCTCTGCTGCTACAGATGGGTTTGAAAATCATGCTCCTCCCACAAGTCAGGTCCAGGACCACAGGAAACCACGAGGGTCATACCCCACGTGGCCTGGAGAGGCCCTCCAGACGTACTGCTCCCCCACCCCCACACGATTGTTGCTGAGGACAGTGATGCCTTTAGAGCACAGAATGTTCTAGCAAAACCGGAAACAAGCAAAGCCACCATCGTCGTCTCTGGGATGTCCCTTGGTTCTGAATGAGCAAATCGAGAAACAGGAGATGAGAGGTTTCCCTCGAATAAACAAGGAACGCAGCTCCCCACGTGCACAGTACTGCCTGGACCCGGAAATCCCAGCGTCCACCGGAAAGCCAGTCGGGTGGCCTGGGACGGGGACTCAGTCCACAGCCCTCCTGGGGCTCAGGGCAGCAGCCAGCACCCCTCCCGGAGGCAGCCGGCGGGGGCGTCACCCCAACCCGTGCGACCGCGGACCCCACACAGCATGCCCAGGGGACGAGGGCCCCTTCAGCCCCACGCCAACACTCGCGTGAGTGTGAACTGCAGCTGCCAAAGTCACAACTTCAGCCATGGCAACAGGTTTCTCTTGGCTTTTGTTTTTACATTTAAACAAAGAAAAAGCAGATTAATTTTTTTCTTTTCTTTCTTTATTCTTTTTGGTCTTTAAAGTGACAAAAGGGAGGAAAAGGAACGCGCTCTGACAAAACAGAGCAAGTTTCTTCTCCTTTCACTGTTGAAGCCCGGTTTCCTGGGGGGGCCCTTCGCCTCCTCCACACAGTACTGGTCACTTGTAGCAGCATCTGGGGGACAGGTGGCCTTGCAGGCCGGGTGCCGGGTGCCAGTGGGACCCACCATCTGGGATGAACTGGGAGCGGGAGACGGCGGGCGGTGCACAGAGACCCCGCACCTGAGGGCTGGGGAAGAACCCCACACGTGCAATTGGGATTTTCTGAAGCCTGAAGGAGACCAAGCTGAGCCTGCGAGATGCCTGTGTCTGGGACCCTGAGGTGGGGCACAGCCGCCCACACCAGCAGCTGGGTGAGGCTGGGGTGCCAGGCCTGGCTCCCCCACGGGTCCTCAGTGTGCAAGGCAGCAGGCAAGGCTGGGGCGGCAGGCCCACTTCCTCCACGGGACCCCAGCCCACCAGGCAGCAGCAGCAGCCAGCATGTCACGAGTTCCGGCTGCCTCCTGAGCCAGGGCAGCCACAGGCTGAGTGGCGGGAAGAAACATCCTCAGCGGGAGGAGCCGCTGGGCTCAGGGTCATCCCCTCCCTGGACACACCGCTGGTCCCGGGGGCCTCACGTCAGGCCGACCACCATGCCCAGTGGGCTCTGCCCGCAGCCGGCCGGAAGGCTGGAGGAGTCCCTGGAAGGAGGCCGGCAGCTCCAGGACGGCAGGTGCACCCTCATCGTCGCTGACCTCGGGAGAAGCAGAAAGAGGCAGAGGCTAATGCAGGGTTGAGTACAGGGGACCAGCCCCTTGGGGTCTGAGCACCAGGCCAGGGTGCCTCTAGAGGGTCTGAGGCTCACCCGGGATCCCCAGAACCCCCCAGCACCCGCCGGCCCTCGGCGCTCCAGTGTCCCACCTCCCTCAGTGCCCACAGCCCGGCTGTGCTGGGGGAGACTGCAGGGTCTTCCTTGCTCGGGGATTTGGACCACAGGACTCGCCCTGAAGTCCCGAGGTCCACAGGCCCAAAACGCCGGGCTGCAGAGAAGACAGCGGATCCGGTGCCTTGTGGCCTCTGGTGGGGGCTGATGGCCATGCCTGTGCTGGGCTCATGGTGCAGAGGAACCCCCATGCACGACTGCCTGGGGGCCCTCGCGTGCACTGATGGCCCCGTGGAGACCCAAGCCTGGGGAGGAGCCCCAACCGCCCTCCACCAGGACACATCCTCACACACAGGGGGTGGTCCCAGGGTGGGAGGGACGGCGAGGCCCTGAGAGGAAAACCCTTTCCCAGGTCTATGAGGGGCCCCAGGCCTCAGCCTTGCTTCCAGCACTCCCCACCTGAGCCCACACAGGCCCCGATGGCCACCCCTGGCAGAGAGAACTGGCTGGACAGATGGTCCCCTCAGCCCAGAGACCCAGGGCCAACCCTGGGCCCTCAAAAAGGCAGCCCCCAAATCCAGCAAACGGAAGGACAGACACTGTCAGCCTCAGTTCTCCACCAGCCAGTGGGCAGAAAGGGCGGGGACAGGAAAGGGAGCAGAGCCTGCGGAAGCCCAGGGCACAGGGGTGATGCCAGCCCCGCCGCTCCTCCTGCCAGGAGGGAGGTGCCCCGTGGGCCCTGCCCGACCACAGCAGGGCAGGAGGGACCTGCTCCATCCCGGCTCTGCTGAGAGGCTGCTGCCACTTCCAGTGCTGCACTCACGGAAGCCCGAGCTGCCACGGCAGAAACTGCAACCACCCTGAGACCACCATGCTGTGAGGAAACCCAGCGGCATGCAGGGAGGCCTGGAGGGCACCTGCAGGTGTGTGCTGTGTGAGCCCGAGGGGGGTGGATGTGTGAGTGTGAGTGACGGGCATTCCTGAGTGACAACATGGCAAACACTTCGAAGACAAGCACCAAGCCAGGATCAACGCCGCAGAGAAAGGGCCGGCACCACCTGTCATCCTCGACACAGACGGGCCGAAATCATTCATATAAACACCAAGTCTCCAGTTAGCCAAACACAGTGTGTGTGTGTGTGTGCGCGCGCGTCTGTGAACAGTGGAGATCTCAGCCTCATCTTCATAGAAAAAGGCCGTCACCAATGTCTAAATGGAAAACTCAAGAATCAAGGAACAGCAGAAGTACAAGGTCTAGAAATATGAAGGTGGATTCCTGTCATTACACCCTACATGTGACCACTGGACTTTTAAAAGCTGAACGTTAGGCCGGGCGTGGTGGCTCATGCCTGTACTCCAAGCACTTTGGAGGCCAAGGTGGGTGGATCACCTGAGGTCAGGAGTTCAAGACCTACCTGACCAACATGGTGAAACCCCGTCTTTAAAAAATAAATAAAATAAAAGCTGAACGTCACAGTAAGATTGACACACACACAGATGAAAGAGGAGCTGCATTTTGGACCATCTCCCCTTTGTATCCAAGGGGCTGCAGGAAGCTGAGGGTCTCCATAGAGAGTCCAGCACAGCCCTGAGCAGTGGTGGCCCAGGCTCTCCCCACGCTGGTCCCCAGGCAGCCCCTCCGCTCAGGTGTGGGGACGGCCAGGACCCACCCTGTGCCTTCCCCCAGGGAGCCGGTGCAGGGCCAGCAGGTGGGGTTCAAGGACTCCTCTGCCAAGACCCAGCCTGCCCTGGCAGGGACACCGGCCTCCCCAGGCCTTCCAGCACAAGGCCACACCCGGCCCAGAGAAGACCCTGGGCAGGAGGAGTGAGGGTGACCCCAGAACATCTCTTCCCAGCTGCCCTCAGCTGAGCTCAGTGCAGTGATGCCAGTGCCCCAGAGCTGTGGTGCTTTGGGGCACGTGCCGGCGCCAGGCAGTGGGGAGGGAAGGGGTGCGTGTCCGATCTCCGTCTGAATGGGTCACGATCCTGAAGGTCGGAAGGGGCTGCCATCTGCCATCACAACACGGCACACACAAACAGGCTCAGCCCCTCCATGCCCCGGGGTTGGGGAAGTGACCTGACCCCATACGGAAGCCTGACTTTGGGGTACACAGGAGGACCCCTATTTCCTGACCTTTTGCATCCCAGTTGCCCTTGGGGGCTCCATCACAGCCTCCTCACCCAGAGCAGCCTCCATCCCGGGAAGCACCCCCAGCCTCCGGGGAAGCCAGCTGGAAGCTCTGGAGTGTCACAGACAACACAAGTTCTCAGCTGTCTCCAGAAGGGCCCACACCACGCTGCAGCATGTGGAGGGCACTGGACCCTTGCCACACACACACCAGAAAGACCTAGCTGGGCCCCAGATTAGGAGACCCTCCCACTCCAGGAGATCTGTCCACCCAGTCCAGGGCACAGGGGAGCGGGGCGCGTGAGAGGCCCCACCTATGAGTGCTGCGGCAGCCCCTCACAGGGCACGACCTCCGGGCTTCTCGGGAAGGGGCCAGCACTCTCGTGAGTGCATGCAGTCATGGGGGTGCCCGGTGCCCACCTGTCATGCTCAGGAGCTCTGTGGCTGGGCAAAATATGACACTCCAGGAAAGATCATGTGTGTGTTTGCTGGTGGCCTACTTTCCTGGGACCCCCGCCAAGTAACACCCCCAGGCGGCAGCCCTTGGGGACCAGGTTGTTGAAGACATGGGGCTGTTCTTCCTCTGCAGGTGCTCCCAGGACAGGGGTGGACACGTGGTCCCACAGCAGCACTGCCTGGACGGCTGCAGAGACCCTCCCAGGCCCCGGCTGCAGCAGGGGTGGTAGGGGTGCTTGTGGGGAGACACAGGGGTCTGCCTGAAAGCGGGGCCGCCTGCCCTCAAACGCCCGGTGAGCAGAGGGAAGCCCCAGGCCCGGCCCCCCAGAGAGGATGAGGAGGGCATGAGGGCAGCAGTGCCCACAGCCCGGGTGGTCAGGAGGACAGGGAGCCTCAGGGAACGAACACCAGGTGGGTGCGGCCACGTGTCTGGGCCCCGTGTGCCTGTGACGTGGCACCACGGGGAGCCCCTTCTCTCAAAAGGTCAAGGAGCAGGGCCTGGGCCTGAGGCAGGGACCCCACGAGGCCCAGGGCCCTGCTGGCTGGGTGCAGTGCCCCGAGGTGGCCGGGTCTCCTTCGCCAAGGACCGCAGTCAAACAGTACCACCCTGGCCCTGGCCCAGCTGCCCGGCCCCAGCCCTGATCACACTCCCTGCAGAGAGGTCAGGCTGCGTCCGTACCTGGCCAGGCAAGGGCAGAGGCTGGAGCAGACGCTGCACCCGCACAGCCTGGGGCAGGGGTTCCTGCCTGACTGGGCAGCCACTGCATTCCTTGCCTGGTGGAGTCACCACCTGAGGGCCCCGGAGATGTCCACAGGCGGACTCGGCCAAGGTCCGGGACCTGGGAGGTGTGGGGTCCAGCGTCCTGGAGATGAGATTCGCAGTTTTCGGATGCACGTGGGGTCCTGCCTGGGCTGCGGGCACCCCGCCTGGCCGAGAGTGCACACGGGGTCCCGCCTGGGCTGCAGGCGCCCCGCCTGGCCGAGAGCGTTCTTGACCAACAGCGCCCTGCACCCAGCTCACCTGATCTCTGCGGTGCTGGGGGGCTCCTGAGGACACAGTGGCCAGCAGGACCCTCCTGTGCCCAGGCTTGGCCGCTACCAACAATCATAGCACCCACAGCTCAGCCTCGGTGCCTTCACAGCAGGCGGGGACAAGGGGCGTCCCACACACAATTTTCACTTCGACAAGCACCCAAGTGCTGCCCCTCACTGCCCCCAGACCAGGCCCAAGCCTGGGGGTGCCAGACCCAACCCAAGGCCATTCAGCAGCTGCGCTGTGAGGCCAGACCTGACCCCCGGCGCTAATGTCGCCGAGAGGCTGGAACAGAGGCCCCGAGACCAGGGGCTCAGAACACAGGCGTCTGCTCTCCAGCTCCAGTGGCTGCAGGTCTGAGAGCAAGGTGCAGACACAGCTGCGCCCTCAGGAAGCCGAGGGAGGGCCCTTCCCCCTTCCAGAAGCTCCTGGCTTTCCTGGGCTCATGAATGCGTCCCTGCGAGCGCCACCTCTGTCTCCGCAAGGCCGTCTCTGTGCATCTCTGACTCTCTGTGCCCAAATCTCCCTCTTCTCATGAGGGCACCAACCATTGGATTTAGGACCCACCCTCATCCAGTACGACCTCATCATAACTTGATTCCATCTGCAGAAACCCCACTTCCAAGTAAGTCCGGTTCACAGGGACTAGGGTGGACCTGAACATGTCTTTTGGGGGACATGATTCAACCTACTATCCCACCCCAAGACGGCACAACGGAGGCCGAGGGCAGTCCCGCCCCAGGGCCCAGGACAGCACCGTGCACGCTGGCACCGGCAACAGGGTGTCTGTTTGTAGGAGTGGTGTGTGTGCAGGTGGGTAGGTACCGGAGCGCGCGGGGTTCAGGTGCACGTGCATACATGGGAGACCGCAGGCATGAGTAAGCAGGTACAGATATGTGTCTGAGTACGGGGTGTGGGCACACATTCACGTGTGTGCGTGTGTGTGCGTGTGCACCTGTGGGCAGGGTAAGCAACAGCCAGCGAAAGGCCAGGATCCCACCGAAGTGCAGGACTTTGAGGCTTCAGAATCTGAGAGATGAGTGAAAATCGGGGAGCTCACCACTGAGACACCACGTGCCGGTGAGGGGTGGCAGAAGAGGGCCCCGCCTCTGGAAGGCAGCCTGGGGTGCACGCAGCATTTGCACAGTCCATCAAGTGCACAGGCCCCACAGTCCCGCAGAGCCCAGGAGGCTCTCAGAAGCCGGGCTGACGCGGCCCCAGCCCAACGCCGGCTGAGAGCTGCCAGGGCACTGCCAGTGACTCCTGAGCAGAGCCACGCGTCAGCGCCTCAAAACCACGAGGCTTCACTGTCTCAGTCCCAGAATAACGTCCTCCGACCCTGCAGATTCTGTATGGGAAGCGGAACAGTCCCCTGTGCGAAACGTTTGCCGGAATTAGAGCTGGTCACGCAAATCCATTCCTACAAAGACCCTTTTCCGTTTCTCAGGAGGAAAGGGCAGCGGTGAGAACGCCGCCCGAGCCACCTGCTCCACGGATGACAGGGAGGTGGAAGCTGCCCCTGGAATCGCAGCGGCTCCACATAAGTGTCCTCCGGTCCCCGGGGTCCCTTCCAAACTGCTGGCGAGTCAACAGGGACTGGTCAGGAGGAGGCTGTTTGCTGTGGCACAGTGGGGTCCCCGCCACGCCTGGAACCCCTCTGTCCCCCCCTTCTAATGCAGCAGCACTTTATGATTTGAAGGAGGCTCAAATCAAAGGCAACCGCACCTCCCTACCAAGAAGCACGCAGCTCCAGGAGATCGTTAAGGCTGCCTGGCCCCTCTCCATCAACAGCAGCGTGACCTTTGGAAATGTCGGTAAACATCCATCAGCCACTGTCCTCATTAGAAAAATGCAGAACGGGCTTGAAAGGAAACAGCCTGGATGGGCCCTTCGTCCCAACAGCAGCAGGGGCCTTCCCTCTCCCAGCAGCAGAGGCACCAGCTCAAAGGCCGAGCAGCCCTGGCCGCTGCTCACGTCTATCCTACCTTCCCGGCGTGGCCCTCGCTCGCAGAGCTGAGCTCAGCTGCTCCCCCTCCATGAGGCCTCCAGGACACCAAGTGGTCTCAGGGACCTGGAGGCCTTGGGGGCCCGCCTGCCCGGGAGCCCTCTGAACCCCCACCTGGATGTGCGGGCGGAGTCTCTCGCTCACCCACCTCTCTCCCACCCCGCAGTCTCTGAGGCCCAAAGGACACCAGCACCTCCCAGCCTGGGCCAAGCTCCTCCAGGTGAGAAAGCTGATGGCTCACACCCTCCCCACAGCCTGGAGAAAAGACTGGGACAGCCAGAGTCCCCCGAGGGAGGCGGTGAGTCTCCTGAGGGAGCCGGGTGTGTCCCACGGCTCCACACATCCCAAGCCCGCCATGCAGGAAGCGAGCCACGGGAAGGCCAGGGAGACCAGGACGGGAGTGGACCTGGGGCCGTGGAGGTGCCCACAGAAGCTTATCACCGTGGGTTTTAAAAAACGAGGCATCTCTAAAAATGGAGAGTGAATAAAACAAAGATGGCTGAGTGTGTTTTGAGGTCACGACTTTGCCGCAGACAGGAACGTGACACACACCCCAAAGGGCCAGACCCTGGGACGAAAAGACAGGCGGGGCAATCTCAGACATCCCTCAAGCCATCCGCCGCTCACCCGCGGGCACCCGCCCTGGCCGATGGAGTTAGGGGGCTGTTCTTCCGAGACTATCATGCTGTATCATAACACAATAATATTAGATTATATATATTTTCCATAACGTGACATTATACTGTTACGTTAAATACTTTGCGTACCTACATTAAATTTGATATATTATCCATATATTAACCTTCCCATCGATAGAATTGATCATGTTAACATTAAGAGTCAAGATTTCTGGCATCAGACACAAAAGCGAATCCTGTGTCGCTTAGAAAAAGGCTTAGAAACAGCAGCGGCCCAGGGGCAGGCAGCAGGAAGCAGGGCTCCCCGGGATGTGGCTGCTCCGGGCCTGAGCCAGAAAATGTACAGAGGGAGCCCGGATGATGGGGCGTGGCAGGGGCAACGCCGCCAGCAGGCTGCTGTGGTCACCACAGGACACGGGCGCCGGCCTCCGTCGGCGGACTCAAGATGGCACCGTCTGAGCACGGAAAGAGTAGCACTTGGGTAGGCTGAACCTATGTTAGCAAACACGTGCACTTTTATGAGACACACGTTCAGGAGGGACCCCTCAGGCACGCTGGAAGGGGCTCCGGAACCAGCCTGGCATCTGCCCCGGCCTCGTAAGGACCCCTCTGCAAGTGGGGCGTGGCCAGAAGCCTTGCTGCAGTGCCACTGAAAGCGGGTAAGGAAAGAGGCTCTTTTTGTAAGAATCCAGTGAGTGAATGAAGACTGTGGCCAGCACCTCGTAAGCCCTCATGAAAGAGCGTGTCAAAGCGAACACCGACGGTGGACGGAACCCCTGGGTGAACCCGACAGGAGACGGACTAGAAGGGATCAGGCTGACAATCCCAAGCCCAAACCCAACCCGGGGCCTCCAGGAGAGGGCAGCCTCCACCGCCCCGCAGGGGTCCTGCTGAGAGGGCAGCCCCCACCGCCCCGCAGGGGTCCTGCTGAGAGGGCAGCCTCCACCGCCCCGCAGGGGTCCTGCTGAAGGGCAGCCTCCACTGCCCCACAGGGGTCCTGCTGAGCCTCCACTCCCGATCCTCTGACCAGGGGCGCGTACCCTGTCCAGGGTGTGAAAGCCTGGTGGGGTCAGGGGCAAGGATTTGGAGTTGGAAGTGAGACCCAGGAAGCAAGACGCCTGGCAGCAGGTTCGAGTGGCATTAGGGCACCTCGCCAGAGGTAGGTGCAGTGCTTTTCTTTGAAGGCACAAATGGGCAGGGGCTTCCAGCAGCGTCCCCCCACACTGAGACAGCCCCCCATGTCCCAGGCACCTGACCCCAAGGAGCAACTCCAAACACCTGGCACCTGCCCGCCTGCCCCCCAACATGGCCTGGATGCCCAAGCCACCGGCCGGGAGGAGGTGGCAGGCACCCGCTGCCGGGAGCCAGGAGAGGGAGCAGAGCCTGAGGCCCCCGCAGCAGGCTCGGAATTACAAGCCTCCGTTTCCTTCTGGAACAAAATAATTACAACCTTCACCCGGGACCTGAATTTCCTGAAAGCAACGCAGGGAAGTCAGCTGAGAAACCCATCCTCGGAAGCAGAGAGCATTTTAATTTAGAGTTGGAGGAAGAGAAAAGCCAGTTTTGGGCAGGAGGCTCAAGGATGCTGTTCTAAAAGGAAAACGTAAATCAGAAAAGCCGAGGCCGCTTCCGCCCCGGAGACCCCAGCAAGCACCGCACTCGTCCACGTCCGGCGGAGGCTCTGCCGACTCCGCACTCCGGGTGCCACGCAGCGTCCTCATTATTGTCCTTATTTCCCAGGAGTCAACACGGTGAGGCTTTGGGTCGAAGTGGCCTGCGCACCTCAGACCCTTCGGGAGCGATGGGCCCCTCCCTTGCCCACAGACCCTGGGGCTGAGGCCCATCTCCACTACCACTGCCTGGGGCCTTCCCTTGCTGCGTGTGAGGCTGGGGTGACCCTGGGTTGTGCCCAAGCTGCCCACACAGCCCTGGGGACATGGAGTGGACGAGAGCCTGGGAATGCCACCGTCTGTGGCATCATGTTTGCAGTCTGTTTAAATGAGGGCTTCGAGGTGAGCAGCCTCTCCCGCGTTATCTACCGGTCCCGAGATGCCACCCGGGCACTTCCAGGAGGCAGAGGCCTTGTGCAGAGCGTGGGGCGATATGGCTGTGAGAAGGGGGTGCCTGGACCCCCAGGAGCTGCAGAGGCAAGATCCTCGCCGGAGCTGAAGGCGCACAGCCCTGCAGGCCTTGGCGCAAGCCCCTGCCACCCAGAGGCGTGGGAACAAGTGCCTGTGGTCTCAGGGCCCCAGTGTGTGGAGGCCACAGGAAACACGGGAGACAGGGGCGACCCCAGGGACACTGACCGTTCAGTGGCGCAGGAATGCTGCGCTCCCAGCTGCTGACGGAGGCCGTGCAGGGTACGGCCCTGAAAGTCCCCTGCCAGAGCAGGAGGGGAAAGGGCTGGGCCTCTGGGGCCACAGGACGCTGGACCCCTCCGGCCTGCACTGTCTGGGAGCCTGTGAAAGCTCGCCCCTGCCCGAGAGGCCGGGACACCAGGAGATCACTGAGTCCCCACTTCACAGAGGTGTCAGCCTCCAGTCCCCGTGTCAGCAGAGCACAGAGCCCCGGCCACGCCAGGGCAGCACAGGGGGTGCCTGTGCAGGACCAGAAGCCCCGTCAGCCTCAGAGCTCCCAGGACCGGGTGCCCTTGTCGGCCCTCACGACTCCCAGGACCAGGGGCCCCCCATTGAACCTCACAGCTCCCAGGACACCAGGCACGCCCCCCCCAACTGCTGTGGTGCTGGGGTGCAGGGACGGCAAGGCTCTGAACCCCTCAGGTCCTCCCCACAGGGCTGGTTGGTGCCACCCACTCCCTGCCACCCTCCTTCCTGCTCCCACATAGCGCACGTGTCTGGTCACCTGTCATCTCCACCTGCCTCTGCTGCTCTGAAGCCTCTGCCTCAAGTGCCCATTCTGTGGAGCCCCCCTTCCTGCTTTCTGTCCCACAGCATTGTCCGGGCCCAGGTTCCCCCAGAATATAGGTCCTGTCCCCAGTCCCTTGCCTGACCTGCCTCTGAGCTTTCACCTGAGATGCCTCCAGCCAGGCTGCAGGCACCTCCCAAGAACTGAAGCCACCCTGAGGATGGGGCCACCCCTGGACACCCGCCCAGCAACCCCCCACCGCCCCCGTCCCCATCCCTCTCCCTGTACTCACAGCTGGGGGTCATTAATTTATTTTTAAAGCCATCAGATGTTTTTTAAAGTTCCATTGACAAATAATAACAAGACCACCTCACTCCTCTGTCTGTCATTCTCCAGCAGCACCGCGTCCATGCCTTGGTCCCCCAGGCCCTCAGTCCGCCTCTGCCCACCTCCCCAAGCCCTGGAACGTGCCCTGCCCTCCTCCTGCCTAGAATGCTCACCCCACCCTCATCCCATCAGCTCCTGATTAGCTCACCATTCAGATCCTGGCTCCTGCCACCTCCTCCAGGAAGCCTTCCCAGATCCCAGTCCAGGCCAGGTTTCTCGCTGGACGCTGTGCTTCAAGGCCCTCTTCCCTTCCTTCTCAGCAGTTCCTGTGTGTGATTATGCACTAATTTGGGAACTGGTGATTCACAGCCCTCCCCATTCGGTCCCCCTTCTAGCCTGGGTCCAGTGGAGTGCTCGGCCCTCAGCAGAGGGGTGGGTGGGTAGTGAGAAAGAGACCAGGAAAGCAGAGACAGAACCCTGAGCCTGGAGGGGGGCAGGACCCCAGGCTGAGGCCCCGGAGCTCACACAGGAGAGCTGCTTTCGCCTCTCAGGCTCGGTGGCCCCCGAGGTGGGGGTGTGGGCAGGCGTTGCCTTCTCCAGGGCCCCATTCCTTGCTGCAGGACAAGCCTGGCCAGGCAGCTCCTTCTGGGCCCGAGCCTGCACGCTCGGTGCCTGCAGCTGAAGCAGGAGGCTGCTCCCAGGCACAGCAGCCCTGGAGCCCGGTCCCCACCGCCTGCCCCCACCCAGGACCTGGGAGTCCCTGTGGGTGCAGGAGAATCCCCAGGGAAAGGCCTCTCCTGCCAGCCTGAGGGTACAGTGGCCACAGGCCACTCACAGGCCCCCGGAGCCGGCCACGACCACCCAGGGCACACGTGCCACTCACTCAGAGGCGGGACCTGCTGTTACCCCAAGAGAGCTGAACAAACAGGCTCAGAGGTATTGGCTTGCTGAGGCCACAACAGCAGGTGACCAGCCGGGACAAGGCCCAACTGCCTCTATTCCCGCACGGGAGGCCGGCCCAGCCTTGGCACGCCTGGGTCAGGACCTCACACGGAGGGGCGCTCAAGTGCGCCACACAGCTGGGCGCGCGTCCTGGGGAGGCCCCTGCTCAGGCTGATGTGCTCAGCCCTTGTGCCAGCCAGGCCGCCTCTCAGCACCACTGGCCACGGCCCCTGTGGTCTGTGGGACATCCACCTACCCCACAGCTGAGCCTCCAGCACCCCCAACAAGCGGAGAGTGAGGGGTCTCTTAGGAGGAGATGCTGAGCTCATCATCCCTGCAACGGAGCAGATCTGGCTGTGCCTGCAGCGACCACCCCCTGACAGGTGCTGGGCGGCACAGACACCCACAATCCTCAGGAAGCTGCTGGGGCAGGTCAGGGTGGCCGGTGGGCGGGGACCGGGAGGACAACCTTCCCTGCCTGAGCTCAGCCCCCACGCCTGCCTCCTCCTCCTGCTCCCCCCTCGGGCATGGCCACCCCCACCCCACGCCTCTTTCAGCCTCTGCTGAGAGAAGTGCACCTTCAGGATGGTGTTGGCGGGTCCCCCTTCCCAGGAAAGGCAGGTCCCCCACATTACCCCTACAAAGACCGACCAGAGTGACTGCTGACGCTTCAAAGCAAACATGTCCTCCAGAGACCACCAACGCCACACAGGGCAGGACATCCCACGCCCCTTGAGATGCCAGCTCTGACCACGCTGAGCAACTGGTCTTTAACCCTTAGGAAACAAAACCAGAAAGCCGACCAGGCACATGCCGCTCTGCACTTTGGCGCTGAAGGGATCTGGCACCCCCACTCCCAGGGCAGGGGGCTGGTCCTGGCACGGGACCAGGGAGCAGCAGCCCTGGGGCAGGCACTGCCCCCCGCAGAGGCAGGCAAACCCGTCTGGTGAGATTTTTCTGCGCTTCCGGATAAACACAGCCGGCCCTGAGCCTGCAAGGCTGCGTCCTCCGCCACGGGCTCCCTGCCAGCCAAGGCCTCTGGCCTCACTTGCGGACCTGGGTGGGGCACACAGCCCGGTAAATGCCCAAGTCCAGAACTTGGGGAGGGTCCCCCAGGACAGCAGACTCGAGTCCTCTGAGCTTCCTCCGATCCCTTGGAGGACGGTGCCCCAGCTTGACAGACTCCCCCAGACTCAAGCCAAGAGGTGGCCCCCACCCGCACTCCCCAACATGGCACCTGCCCCACCCCTGCCCAAAGGCTCCAGAACTGACCAGAAAAGGGCCTGGTTCCTGGGGCAGGGGGAGCAGCCACATTTGTGCCTGAACAGCCGGGCAGCCTGGGGACCCTGGCTTGATGACAGTGGCCTCTCATCACTGCATTCACCCCAGAACCCCAAACGCAGGGCACAGCAGTGGAGGGCACTCAGCCACCCCACTCCCCACCCCCACCAAAGGCTAAGGCTGGAGGATTGTCACCTGGGAAACGGCAAGGCCTCTGGGCAGGCGGCCAGGGCAGACAAGGTCACCAGCCGTCACCCAGGCCTAGGCAGAGACTCTGCCCCTGCCCTCTGCACATAGCCCCCGGCCCTGGAATCTCTGCATCCAGGGGGCCATTAGGCCACCCAGCCAGGGAGAGGTGCACAGAGGGCCACCAGGTGCCCCCGCCCGGAGGGGACTCCCCACAGCTAGCCCAGAACCCACTGGGGAGGCAGGAGGGGCATCGGGAGGTGCTGGTAGAGTGGCCTTCAGATGCCAGCCAGCCCCTCGAGGGGCTCAGGGCAGAACCCAGCCCCTCGGCAGGCCCTGGATGCCCCACACAGTGACCACAGGGTCATGGGCGGTGCCCCCGGCCCCAAGAGGTGACACCCCCACATCTCCACACAGCATAGAGAATCCGCACAAGGCCTGGCTGGAGATTCTACCAAGCACTCTTGGGAGAGGCCAAGAGTGAGACACTGTCCCCAGGAACAGGCCCCCACACATGTCCTAGGCCCTGGGCGCCTGGCCACGCACAGCCCGCTGACAATGGAGTCCACATTGGCCCAGGAGGAAGATTTGGGGGGTCGAGGGGGGCAGGGCTAGGCCAGTCTGGGAGCTGAGGCAGGGGCTTCGTCTGAGGGTAGGAAACTCGCCTGGCCCTCCCTGATTTCATGTCCTGGACGGCTGATCCGTGAACAGGAGGAGGGAGAGGGTCCTCTCTGATCCTGGGAAGAGCAGTGAGTGTTTGCCCGCTGAGTAATTCAAGACAGGCCTGGGCTCTCCCTCCCCAGGATCAGTTGAACCACATCCCCACACATGAGAACCTCCTCTCTGGCACGCCTTTGAAAAATGGCTGCAAAGCACAAACTCGATTTGTGCTTTGTAATGCGCCTCGCGTGAATCAGAAGCGTGGATGACATTACCAGCGAGGGCAGCCATTTCCAGGAGGTGGGGGGCCCCCAGCGGCTCCCTGGGTCTCAGCGCCTGAACACATGTGTGAGTCCGGGCTGGCACACTCACCTGGTCAGGGAACCAGTTACGTTTCAAACTGGGTTAAGAGCTCCCTGATTTCCGGGGCCACGTGTCTCGCGGCATTGGCAGCCTCGGTTATAGCTTTCCGATACATCCCCTTCTTCTTACGGTTAAATCTCAGTTTGAAAAATTCAGAGAAAGGGGAGAGTTTTGAAATAGACAAGAATGACGTAGTCGGAGAACCAAACCACGAGACCTTCGCTTCTCGCCAAGAGGGCTCACCATCCTCCTTCTGGCCAAGGCTGATGCCGAGAACGCGCGCCGGCCACCAAGGAAAACCATGGATCTTACCCCACACGATGTCCCCCACGGCCACAGTCCTGCCGTCCTCTGTGATGCACTCGGACACGCTCTGCGTGTGCAGCCGCACCGTCAGGGGCGGCACCGTTGGGCGAACCTCTCTGGACGAGGAGGGCGCCGACGCGCCGTGGCTGGGCGACAGGTCGCCTGCGTCTGCAGACGTCCCTTCTGAGCCGGATGATCTGGCCTCGTCCAGGCTGTCGCTGCTGCACGCCAACTCACTGGCACAGTCCGCTCTCCCCTCCGGGCAGCTGACAAGAAAAGCCAGGCCACCGCGTCCCTGTGGACCTTGGGGACAGCTCTTGAGGTCGTCGTCCTCACCCGAACTTCCGGAAGACAAGTCCGCCAGCCCAGTGGCAGGGCCGTCCGCACAGGGCATGGGCGAGCTGGCCCGTGGGCACCCATTCAGCTCCTCCACCAGCTCGGCACGGTACACGGGCTCGTGCTCACTGTCCCCCAGGCGGTGGGGCTTCAGGCGGATCTTGGGGGGCGGCAGGTCTGTGCTGGGCAGCACAGGCCGCGTCAGTTTCAGCTTGGGGATGGAGGCCGAGGGTGCGCTGGGCGGCCGGTCCCGGAGCTCTCTGTCTGGCACCTCGGGGTCCTGGCTGCCCTCATCCTCTGGGGCCTGCTGGGGGCAGAAGGGCTCCAGAGAGCCGTGCACACGGGAGGGGATCTTGACCACCTCGCCCTTGCCCTGGGGCGTGCTGTAGGAGATCTTAATGACCGGGCTTCGGGGCACCTGCTCGGCAGGGGCCCTGTCCTCCTCCCGCCTCTCCCTCTTGCTCCTCCTGGCGGTGGCTGCAGCCACGGGGTCACTGCTCTCCAGCTCCTCCGGCTTGTGGAGCTCCCTGTCTGGGCCACTGCCCAGCCTCCTGCGGGCCCTGGGTGCGGCCGGGGGTCCGGGGCTGGCCTCTGGGGGGCTCAGCGTGCTCTTGCACTTCTCACACAACACCTGGCGTGGCCGCAGGCGGATGGTGCTCAGGATGAGGCGCCCCGGGTCTCGGTTGCGGGACAGACGCCGCCGGGTGCGCTTGATGGTCCTGGGCGGTGGCTGAGGCACCCACTGCTTGTACGTGTTCCGGAGCCACAGCGGGTGAGGGAAGGGGGCGCCTTCGAAGTACGGCGGGTATGGGGGCAGGCTTCCGGCGGGCAGCGGCGGTACGAGGGGCGGGGGTGGCTCAGGGCCAGCTGTCTCAGGGGACTGGACCCCTTGGGGAGGAGGCGGGGAGTCGGGCCCCAGCTGCATCACCTCTGCTTCCCCCTCCTCAGGGGCCTGGCCACGGCTGCTGCTGGCGGGGGTGTCATCGGCCTGGGGCAGTGGAGCCGAGGGAGGTAGGCCAAAGAGGCCGGACCTGGCAACAGGGAGAGAGAAAGCAGAGTGAGAAGGGACCCTGGCACAGCTGCCACCTGCACCCAGCCCTCGGAGCCAAGGTCCTGGACCCTCGCTCCAGGAAGTCTGGTCAGCAAGCCATGCCCTGAGGCCAGGGCCGTATTCAGGACTGCACACCGATGCGCACGCCCCTACAAATGTCCAGTGTTGGACGTGTCAGATCAAGGCATGTGCCTTACAAAGCCACGAGGCATGTGGCCTTGAGGCTAGCTGCTTCCCTGGCCTGAGAGAGGCACAGAGGGGCTGAATTTCAGTCCATGGCCTCAGGGGAAATGTGGCCCCAGGAGGAATGCTCTCAGGAAGGCTGACCTGGCCTGGTCAGGGGACTGGCTGCCTTCTGGCCCACAACCCTGGGCCCCTTGCTCACAGGCTCATCTGTTCCCTCTTTTCCTCTTTGAGGGGCTGGGGGACTCAGGGAAGACCCCCTGAGAATCAGGCAACCCTTCAGCTCCACATGCAAGTCCCTGGAGAATGCTGTCCTGCAGGACCAGGGTTCCAGGCTCGTGATGTGTATCTGGGGTGGGCCTGCGCGTGGCCTGGGGCTGAGCCCTCTGGAGGTGGCCCCGATGCTTCCAGTGACCCCGAGAGAGTCCTCATCTGCATCTGCCCACACAACCTAGAAGGCCCTCCTTGCCCGCCTGGCACCCCCAGGCCCTCCCCTGCTGGGTCACAGGATCCACAGGGAAAGGAGCACAAGGGGCAGGGGCAGCCACTCGCTGCTGGGGGAGCCACAGTTAAGGCCAAACACAGCAGCCAGCACCCCGGGGCTGCCACAGCCAGGACACCCATCCCAGCTAAAGGACTTCCCATCCTGGGACATGCTGGTCCACGCAGCCTGTATTTAACGGGCAGTGCCCAGCACTGTGCGTGGCTTTGGGGAATTCATCGTCAGAAGCTGGCGGGCCACGTCACTGCACAGATGCCCAGCTGCCCCGTCCTTCTCGAGGCCCAAATGCAGCCAACGTCCCCAAGCCCTGTCCTGTCCAGCAAGCTGCTGTCCGTGAGTCAGGAAAACAGTTCTGAGAACACTGACGTTACCACACACCACGGAAGGCATGTCCACAGAGTCCACGTGTTTCAACAGTGAGCACGTGGTGTAACACGTAACAAACGGGATGCAGTTTTCAAGACTGCTTTAGTTAAAACACAAAGAAAGAAGCAGACGGAGAGAACGGGACAGAAACGCACGACGGCACTGTGCCTCGCCAGGGAGGGCACAACGGCGGCCTGGAGCCCTGGCGGGGGGTGAACATGGGGCGGGGCTTCTACTCTGTGGTGGGGTGGCCAGGGTGAGCCCCACACATCCCATTCTCCTCCAACCAGGCACCACTGTGGTGCCTGCAGCCACAGGCTGGCATCACCGGAGTGCGGGCTGCGCTGTCCCTGTGCCCACTGTCTCCCAGGGCCCCGAGGCAGCCGTGGGAAGCAGATGCTTTGCTGCCTCCATCTCTGATGGGCTGACTTTCATGGAAATAGACATGGGAAAGGAGAGCTGGGCATATGGGCCCCAGGCCATAATGCACTGAGGCCAGTCCCAGGCAGTGCCCTCACCAGGTGCCAGTGCCAGGACCAAGGAGCACAGACCCCGTGCACCCTGGGCCCAGCAGGCCACACCTGGCCCCTCCAGCATTTGTGAGGAAAGTTTTACTCACACACAGCGTGGCCCCCAGGCTCCTTTACACGCTGTCTGTGAGCCAGGCCGCAGTGAGGCCACCCCATCCAATGACGTTCACTTACGCAAAAGGCTTGCTGGATGGAGCTCAGCTGTGGGAGAACAGCCTTTGCCCAGAGCCGGCCCCACCCCCACTCGGGGTTCTAGGCTGGTGTCTCCAACTCCCCTGGCCTCACGGCCAGGACTGGCCTCTGGCTCATCACCTCCCATGAGCACCTTGTGGGCATTTCTTTTTTTTTTTTTATTTTTTTTTATTTTTTATTTGAGACGGAGTTTCGCTCTTGTTACCCAGGCTGGAGTGCAATGGCGCGATCTCGGCTCACCGCAACCTCCGCCTCCTGGGTTCAGGCAATTCTCCTGCCTCAGCCTCCTGAGTAGCTGGGATTACAGGCACGTGCCACCATGCCCAGCTGAATTTTTGTATTTTTAGTAGAGACGGGGTTTCACCATGTTGACCAGGATGGTCTCGATCTCTTGACCTCGTGATCCACCCGCCTCGGCCTCCCAAAGTGCTGGGATGACAGGCGTGAGCCACTGCGCCCGGCCCTTGTGGGCATTTCACACAGCATGAGCATTCGGAGAACCACCATGTGTGCTCACACACAAGCACATCTATGTGAACACACTCACCTGCTGGTGCGGGCACCCTGAGCTTCTGGGCCAGTGCTTATGGCCCCTCTCGTTGGGGTGTCCCTACCAGAGGACAGGGGCTACAACAGTCAAAGGGAGGGCAACCCCACTAGGGCTGGGGACATGGCATCCTGACCACACGGGGTTGTGGACTGCCTGGGCTGAAGGCACCAGGAACCCAAGGACAGCGTGCAGAAAATGGCTGCTGCCAGGCCTGCTGGGGCAGGGGGGCTTCCCTGGGCCACCTTTCCCAGTGGTCAGGGGAAGCTGGTTGGCAGGAGAAACCATAGCCTGGATACCAGAGGGGACCCTCCTCCAGGGCCGCAGAAACGGCACCTGCCCCACCCCTTGCCCCAGGATCTCCAGGCACAGGCCAGGGGCTAGTCCCTTCCTAGGCAGATCAAACGGGTGGGGGACAGTCTGAGCTTTGCCATCCCCTTTGGGACCCTGAGTCACACCTGCATCAGTGCCCGGGGACCCGCCAATCCAGCCCCGCAGAGGCGGCCGGTGACCCTCAGGCAGCTGTACTTCCTTCCTGGAGCTGCCGCCCTGCCCAGGCCACACCCCAGTGTACTGGTGGGTAAACAGGGTGGGAACAGCTCACTCCCCAGGCTGGCATGGGTGGGGAAACCCAGCTCCGGGGAGCTTGCAAAGCTGACAGCAGGGTCCCCAGGCTGCCGGGACCTGGAATCCTGCTCTCCTTGAGCAACACCATGAGAGACAGATCACAGCCTCCCCATTTCAGGGGGAAGGGCCGGTGAGGCTGTGTGAGACCAGGAAACGTGCCCCCAGGCTGAGCGGTGGGTGCTGGCTGGGGTCTGCTGCCTCCAGGCCTGGGGGTGGCACTGGCACAGGAAGAAAGTGGCTTGTCTTGGACCCTGGGACCTGAAGGGTGGGGGCCTCTGGAAGTGCACAGGTGCAGCGTGATTCCACACACACACACCTCTAGGGACAGCCCCACCAGCCTGGCGGTGCCCCACAGGTAACACCGAGCCTTGGCAGGTGGGAAGAGGGGGTGGCCTGGAGCCAGATGAGCCTGCTGGATCCAGGCTGCCCTTTTAGGGCCCCCAGTTGGACACAACCATGGGGGCGTGACCTACCTGTGGGGAGGAGAAGGATGTGCAAGGGGCCCTGAGAAGGAGGCCTCAAGAGGCATCCTTGGGAGCTCAGGGACAGAATAAATAACCTTTGCTTTGAGAAACGGCTGGGGAAACTGAGGCAGGGGTGAGAAGCCCAGGTGTCTGTAATTGCAGAAGGGACCAGATCCCAAAGCAAAAAGTACGCCGGTGCCACTCCTAATGGCACGGCGGCGTCCCGGCAAGGACACGGAGGCCCTGGAAACCAGGCCTGAGGTCCTTAGCCAGACACAAGTGGCTGCGTCATTACTCAGCCATGGCCGCCCTGGGGCCTCGCCTGGGTGTCAGGCTCAGCCACACCCCCAGAAAGGCCCAGGCCTGAGGTCTGCCTGTGGCCGTGCTGGCAGGAGCGCTGCCCTGGCAGCCTGCCCGAGCCCCCTGCACTCGCTGGCAGCGCCTCCAGCCGGCTCCCCCATTCCACAGCCCAGGGCCGAGCGACGGCCTCCTGTCCTCCCTCCCGGGCCCACGTTCCCCCTGGACCTTTCTTCCTCACTCTCTGTGAGGAAAGGCCACCCCGTTGTGGCCTAAAGAGGTAAGGAAAACGCAGCTCTGCAGCAGGAACAGGCAGTCTCCGTGCAGCCCAGGTCAGCCCCGAGGCCAGCACCCAAGGCCTGCCTCCGCTGTGCTGCAGTGTGGGCCTAGAAAGCACCACAGTCTCCCCACAGCCCTGCAGACACCCACAGCAGGACCAGGCCAGCACTTGGGAAACAGGGCAGGTGGGTCAGGCCTGCTGGGGGCAGTGGGGCCACCCAGGGCCAGCTCTCTCAGGGGTTAGGGAAAGCAGGCTGGCAGGAGAAGCCACAGCCTAAACACTGGGGGCCCCACAATGGGAGCCTGCCCCACCCTGTGGGCACCTGCCCGACCCAGGATCTCCAGGGGAGAGCAGGTGGGGCCAGGTGGCCACAGCCGGCCTCCTGTGTCCTGGACTCAAGGGTGTATGAGCCACGGACATGGTCCCTCTGTAAGCCCTGGGGGGCTCTCCCCGTAGCACAAGGCCAGGCCCCCACCCCACGCCCTCCTCACCCACTCGCTCAGTTGCCACCCCCTTGAGACGCCTCCGAGACCAGCCATGCTGGCCAGGCGCCCTGGTGCCCTGGGCGGGGATGCACTAGGCCAAGGTCCCTCTCAGACCCCAAGGGCAGGGCACATCCCATCACCACCGCACCACCCGCTCAGTGGTCCCGGCCCAGGCGCTCCCCCTCAGCTGCTGAGCGAATCATCCCAAGAGCAGCCCCTGGCAGTGCAGCCTTCACATGGACAGGAGTGCCCAGGGCAGAACTCAGTGTGCCCTTCTGCCGGGACAGGCCGTGTCTGGGGTTCCTCGCGCAGAGGACTAGCCCACACTCGGTGCTTTGTCTGTCCTCAGGCCACCTCTCAGTGGGAGCCCCCCATCCAGGGTCCTCAACCAGAAGCGCACCCCCAAATCACCCAGAAAACACAGGTCAGGGCAAGGCTTGGGTCATCAAAACTGTGGAAGGAATCCCCACATTGGCCCAGATGCAAGGAAGACCACTGGAGGCTGCCTGCTCCGGGCTCAGCCCGCTTCCCGGCACACAGTAGGTACACAGTGAACTCACCTGGATGCACACACAGCCTGACCCCTCAAGAATCTTGCTTCAGATCACATGGCCTTCCGGCACCGGGCCAGGCAATTCCACCAGCCTGCCCGGCCCTGTCCCCTCTGCTCTATGAACGAGGGAGAGAATGTCATCTCCCAAATGGGCCGACAACAGACGCCGGCTGCCAGGCCCATCTCAACCCCGAATCCGGGTGCCTGTGTGAGCGGGGCGCCAATCCCGAGGGACTGCCCCGAACAGGTGCCTGGCTGCCTGCTGCCCGCGCTGAACAGAATCCGCAAAATGCCCGCGCTCTGGGACCCACAGTTTCCCTGAGGTGGGCGGACACCTGTCACAGGGCTCCCTGCAGCTCTTCTCTGAGTCAGCACCCACACTTGAGGACTGGGCCTCCACTGTCACACTCAGGGGATAAGGGCAGACACCATGCCTGAAGAGAAACTGGCACCTGGGAAGGCAGGACTGGAAACAGGAGCTCTGGGACTCAGAATACAAGGACGTAGAAGCGGCGGAGAGAATCAGGCACGGGGAGATGACAGGGACGGGCGAGGGGCAGGGGTCCTTCCAGGACAAGCCTCAGGGCCGGGGTCAGGAGCCTGCTCTACCTTCAGATTCCCCACAAGGACAAAGGGGCCAGCCCAGGGCACCAAGGGTGGCTGGTGAGTGGCTGCATCAGCAGAGGCCGGGCTCCCAGCTCCGTGGGCGGCTCTGGTTACAGCTGAACACGGCGGACAGGGTGGACACCCATGCATGCTACAGCTGCCAGTTCCCACGCCAGGGGTCCCATCAGACCTGGTTTTTTCCACAAAGGGGAGGCGGTAGTGTAGATTTGCAAACCAGGTTAGCCCCGGGCCTCAGGGAGGAGCGCCTGCGGCCACTGCAGATACTTGTCCTGTCCTGAGTCCGCGAGCCTGGAAATGGGCGAGCCTGGAAATGGGCGAGCCTCGGCTGCTGCTGCCCCTCTCCAGGGAGGAAAGGCCAGACACGGTGGTGCAGGTGTGGCAGGGGGGCGGCCCTCAGGACCAGGACCAAGCCCAACCCTGTCTGCTGGAGGAAGCTGAGGCCGGCGGTGGAGGGGGATGGCAGCCCCAAGTGTGGCTCCATCCTGCCCCAGACTCGCCGCGGTAGCCCACACGGAGCGGGCACAGCCACACGGGAGCCATATGTTAAATCACATGACTTGGGCATAAATGGCTCCTGGCACATCTAATGAAGAGATAACGTCTTCGAAATCATTGTGGCAGGAACATGGTCCTTCCTGCTAATTCATGTCGCCGGGTGAAAATCTGGGCTCCACTGAGGGAAAAAGTTGGGCCTTTAAAAGAAGAGCCTTTTCCGGCTCCCAGATTCAGAATAAAGCCGTGCAGGAGTGCGGCAAGGCCACAGCCTGATTAATGCCTAATCATTTATCTGGCGGCGGCAGCTCCCTGTCATGTGACTCCGCGCCCAGGAGGCTCCTCTGCTCTGCCTGGGTCCCTGCAGCCCCGCACAGGTGCCTCTCCGGAGGGGCTGCCCTCCCTGCCCGGTGCCCCCACCCAGGAAGCTCCCGGGGGATGCACGCGCGGCTCCCACAACTTGCGCGACTTCACGCCCCCGTGAGTCAGGGCTCCAGGGCCTGAAGCGGCTCTTCCACCGCACAGCTGGGCGCGACTGCTCTCCCCAGTGCAGACCTCGGCCGCGGAGTCGCTCCCGCAGCCCGGGGCCCGGGCCTTGGACGGGGCGCCCCCACCTGTGAGTAATTGCCGGGGCCAGGCCACGGCGCGCCCGACCCTCCCCCCTCAACGACAGTTCTGCCAACGGCGGAACTCAACAGTGTGTCTGAACAAAGAAAAGTGCGTTAATTACCGCAGACGCGAGGAGTTCCGGGACCCCCGCCCGCGCCCCCGCCGGCCGCCGGTTCTCCCGCCCCGGAAAGTCGCGACGACTTTGAGAGCCACTTTCCCCCCCACGCGGCGGCCGCGCTCGCGCGCCCCGAGACCGGGCTCGGCGGAAACCGAAAGCGGGCGCCGGGGCCGCACCGCCCTCCCCGCAGCCGGCTCTCGCGTCTCGGGCGGCGGCGAGTGTCTGGGGGGACCCGGGGCGCCCCGGCCCGCGCCCCCGCTCACTTCTTCGTGCAGTCCAGCAGGATCCCGGCGAAGCTGCGCTCCCCGCAGCTCACGGTGACCACCAGCGCGCCGTTGACGACCTGCTCCACCCGCACGGGCAGCCGGCAGCCGGCGCGCGGCTCCATGCTCCCGCCGCGTCCCAGGCCGCCCCCGCCCCGCCGCCGCCGCCGCCGCCGCCGCCGCCGCCGCCGCCGCCGCCGCCGCCGCCGCCGCCGCCGCCGCCGCCGGGTCAGCCCCGCGCGTGACGCCGCCCCGCGGCCGCCTGACGTCACAAAGCTCCGCTGGGGCGGCCGCCACCGCCGAGTCGGGCCGGGGACCCCGCCCGCCGCCGCGTCCCGGGAGAGCTGCGCCCGCACGCAGAGCTGGGCCGGACGCGCGCTGCGGACCCCGCGCTGGGGAGGGGGCTGCGCCCGGGCTCGCGGACACGCCGGCCGGGGACGTCCCCTGGCATGCGAGGACCCGAGAGCCACGCGCCCGGGGGCGGCGAGGGGCCCCGTCCTGGCGGCAGCCCCGGGACCCCGTCCCCCGCTCCCCGACCTGGGCCGCCCGGGCCCCTCCCCCTCCCGCGCCAGCGCCCGGCCCCTCCCCGCCTCCCTGCCCGGCGCACTCCCTCCCCCGTGGCCCGGGTGCCCCCGCCTAGGGTCGGCCGCCCGCCTGTCCTGGCAGCGCCCCGCGCAGGGCTTTCGTGGCCCCGGGCTCTGCGGAGAGGAAGTCCCGGGCGGCGCGCGCAGGAAGCCGGTGGGGCCGGGCGAGGAGACGCGGGGCGCACGGGGCAGCGGCCTAGTGTCGCCCTCGCCGCGTGGGGTCGGGACGGCGGGTCCTCCCACTGGTCTCGGCGCCTCTCGGGGGGCTCAGGGCCAGTCTGCGCGCCCGGGGGGGTGACTGTCCTGAGGCCTCTGTCGGGAGCGCCCCTTCGGGTGGCAGAGCCGAGGGGCCCGGCGCGCCTCCGCCAGTTTACAAAGGAAACAGCCTCCTTCCCCAGGGGCAGGGGCTCCCCGCGGGCAAGGAGTGGGGGTGACGGCGCCGGACCCTACGCCAGGACCCCGCAGTCGTCAAAGCCCCTGACTTCCTTCCCCAGCATTGGCGCGTCCGCACCCGGCTCAGAACACAGGGCCCGGCCTGTGGCAGTGACCTTGGCCCCGGGCCGGGCTTCTGAGCCGGGCTGGCCGCGCCTGACGGGGCTTGGAGGCGGGGCGGGAACCGCGGAGTGTCGGGGCGACCCAGCGCCGCCCACGGCTCCTCCCAGCCTGGGAAGGGAGGACCACCACCGCGGCGGCCGGGGAGCAGTCGGGCCCTGGCGCCGCTCGACCTCTCCCTCCGCCGGCCGGAGCCGGGGCTGAGTGAGGGAGCCCGCGGGGCCTGGGGCACCTGACCGTCCCAGGTAGTACAGGGGTGGGGACCGAGGACGAATGAGCCAGGGGTCTGGCCAGGGACAGTCCCAGAGGAGGCCTGGGGGCCCAGATAGCACCCGTCCTTCTCTGTGTGGACTGGGGCTCCCGCCAGCACCAAGCCCTTCCTGCACCTTCAGGCACCTCAAGGCACCCCACTGTCCAGGGTCAGCCAGCCCCTCCCCACTGGCCTCCAGGCCTGCAGAGCAGCCTGCCTGCTGTCCTGCCCACAGGCCTCCGAGTCTGCCCCCTCCAGGGTGGGGCTGACTTTGGAGGAGACATGCCAGGCAGCAGGGACCCCCTCGCCACCCTGACCCATGTTGGGCTCAGCGGCCTCCCAAGGCTGCCCACCTGCTTGGCTCTTCTCTCTGCCTGCTGGAAAGGCCTGCTGGGCACTGCCCTTCCTGGGCACTGGGGACGGCCAGGGTGGGGCGAATCAGCTTTCAGGCTGGTGAGGGCCAGCATGGGGTGAGGCTAATGCACAGAGGGCCGCATGTGGGTAAGGGGGTCCAGAAAGAGTGCCCAGGGAACTGTCGGGGGGAGCAGCAGCGTCCACCACAGCCCCACCTGGAGGCCACCAGGTGGGCAAGAGCAAGGGCTTCCAAGGTGGGTGGGAGGAGTCAGGAGTCCCTGCAGGGTGTCTGTGTGTGCATGGGGCTCCTGGTGACTCCCTACACCAGCAGGAGGTACAATTTAGGGGGGTCAGAGGGACCCACTTGTGGACTTGCTGGGCTTTGGGTGGGACCAAGGCTGGGTGGTGGAGGGCAGGAAGGGGGAAGAGGGTCTGGGGCACAGGGGGCCGGATGGATGCACCCCACAGCTGGCAGGTCTGGCACAAGAGGGGAAGAGGGCAGTGAGGGGAATGGCTGGTCCCTGGCACCTCCTGCCCCTCTGCCCCTGTGGCCAGTGCTATGTGCTGTGTATTTTTAAGTGAACTTGGAAGCTGTTTTTAAAAGCTGCTCTCCACTAGGTAAGGTATAAAAAAGACCATCTGCAGACAGGGAGACCATTTTTGCAACATAAATGGTGGGTGTTCAGGGCCCACCCCAGCAGCCCTGCCCACCCCCCCCGGACTTCCTCCCCACAGGCTTCCTGCCCGCTCCAACCCTCTTGTTTAAGAAGGCCATGGGAGTTTCCAGAGTCCCTGATTAAAATGCAGATGTCCTTGGGGGCCTCACTGGTCCAGGCGTCCCCTCCAGTCTGACCCTGTATTCGGGGTTGGGGGGCTGCCCCAGGCTTGCTGCTCTGAGCATCTCCCCAGGGACCACCTGCTTGTGCTGGTCAGTGAGTTCTGCCCAGTCCTGGAAAGGACCCTGGGTAGTGGGGCCGGTGCTGCCCACAGTGAGAGGACATTGAGCTGCCTGGCTGGGCTGGAGAGGAGCTTCAGGAGTGCGTCCCTAGCTGGGGCGAAAAGGCCAAGCGTGGAGAGATACCTCCGAGGTCTTCAGACTTCGTCTTCAAGAGACTTGGTCCTAAAGCCTTCATCCCCCGGCTGCAGGCACAGCCGCAGCAAAGTCTAGCACACACCCAGCTCGGGCGGCCCAGCCAGTCGGATGGGGCAGGCTAAGGGGACAGGAGACTGTTCTAAGCTTCCACTGGGGCTGGGGGTGGGTGACCAGAAGTAGGCAGGATGGGTCGCCTCAAGGGGTACAGTTGGGGAGGGATGGGCGGCTCGGCCTCCATGTCCCCTGAGACAGCAGGGGGGAAGGCGGGAACCCTGTAGGCAACCTCCCCTCAGGGTCTGCCTCCCCTGCAGTCCTTGGAGGAGCTCTGGGATTTGCGGTCCCCAGCAGGCTGGCTCACCGCCATCACCAGCTCCATGCCCGCCCCTCGTCTTTCAGGTCACTCGCCAAGCTCCGAGCTCAGCGGGCCCCACTGACTGCCAGACCTGGACCTGCCCAGCACTGTCCTGTGCTGTGTAGTCACTGAGACTTGGGAAGGACAGTGCTGAGCAGGTGCTCAGCCTCTGTGGGTGTCTTCCACGAGATGCAGCTTACGGGGGCCTCCCCATGACTGAGGTGCAGGCACAGCCTGGCCTGTGTCCAGCCTGCTCCAGAATTGCCTGGCCAGCCAGCTGGTGTCCCCCCAACCCCCAACACACCTGGGCTTGCTTGATCTTACTGGAGCTCACTGGGGCCTGGCTATGTTTGGGTCTCACGCAGCACAGTGAGGTGCTTCTGAGGTGGATCAAAGGTGGTCAAGGTGCAGGCCTCAAGGGCCACAGCCATGAGTCAGAGAGCACAGATTTCTCCAGAGCTGCTGCCCAGAGCCAGAGGTGGGGATGGGCCTTGAGGCTGGGACCCAGGCCGCCTCATGGCAAGCCTCATGCCCACAGCAGCTGTGGAAGGCAGGAGACAGGACGCCTTTAATAATGACCAGGTGATCCTCTCATTCTAGAAGCCTGGACGGAGTGGGGCGCAGGAGCACACCAGCCTCCTCCAAGGTGTCTGGCAGGGACACACACTCCTTGTCCCTTGTCATGTCCTCTGAGGCAGGGGCTCAAGGCAATCTTTGCAAATGCTGAGCCCAGGAACCCCTGACCTTCCAGCAGGCCACAGATGGCTTTGGGCAGTGTTCGTGTTCTTCGGCTCCAGCCTGGAAGCCCTTGGAGGGCAGTGTGGGTCTGCAAGGCTGACTTTGTCCTGTCTGGCCGCCCTGCAGGGGCTGGTCTGGAGCTTGGTCCCTGCCTGGTGGGTTACCAGGAGGATCTAGGGCCACACCCCCTGAGGCAGTATCTCAAAGGACTGGCTAGGACAGAACCTGGCAGGACTCCACTGGAGGGGCTGCAGAGAGCTGGGCAGGCACATAAACTCTGAGGCCAGACTGCTGGAGTCCTGCCAGGACCTTGGGGAGACTGCCACCTCCCCTCTGCCTCAGTGTCCTCATTTGTAAAGCAGGAATAATCAGCGTGCCTGTCATGTAGGCTTGTACTGGAGATTAAATAAGTTAATAAACATGAGATACTTAGTACAGCACAAGCCCCAGTAAGGCCTCCATGAGTCAGCTGCCATCCCCAGCATCAGCACTTTTGTCATTGTCAACACCGTCACCACCACCGTCACCATCCCACCTCCCCCATCGCTACTCTCACCACCACCACCATCACTATCACCACATCACCATCACAACCATCACTCACCACCACCATTATCACATCACCACCACCACCATCACCATCATCACCACCATTGTCCCCATCACCACCATGACTATCACCACCACCACCACCACCATTACCGCCATCATCACATGTATCACCACTACTATCACCACTGTCACCATCAGCACCACCACCATCTCCATATCACCATCACCATCAGCACCATCAGCACCATCATCTCCATATCACCATCACCATCTCCATATCACCATCACCATTACCATCATCACCATCACATCACCATCAGCACCACCACCACCATCTCCATATCACCATCACCATCAGCACCATCAGCACCATCATCTCCATATCACCATCACCATCACCATCAGCACCACCACCACCACCATCTCCATATCACCATCACAATTACCATCATCACCATCACTATCAGCACCACCACCACCATCTCCATATCACCATCACCATCAGCACCATCACCATCTCCATATCACCATCACCATCAGCACCACCACCATCTCCATATCACCATCACCATTACCATCATCACCATCAC